GATGAAGAGATTGGAGGAGGAGATGAAGAAAGTACAACAAGAGGAGGAAGAAAGAAGAAAAGTTGTTGAAGCAGAAGCGGCAGCAGAAGAAGAGAAAGAGAGGATGAGGATTGAGAGTGGAGAAGGGAGTAGTGGTGGCACGATGACGAGGGAAACAGATACAGGGCTAGAGAAGAAGATCAGCGAGTGGGTCGCTAATTTATCGTTGGGGGAAGACGAGGAGGCAGAGTCCTATGTAACTAAGGATGAGAAGGTTGCACTGGCCGCCGAGCTAGCAGCCATGACAGACCCGATGGAACGAAGAGAGAGGGAGGAGGAACAAAAATTAGCATGGAAGCTGAGGATGAAGAGAGAGAAGAAGAAGAGGAGAGAGGAAGTGAACAAGATGACCGCAGAGGTGGCAAAGGTGCAGGAGTATAGAGCGGAGGTGCTGGCCCAACCAGACGACAAGGCCAAGTGGGACAAAGTATTGGGCTATTTAGAGGTGTTGAGCAAGGCCTGGATGGAGGAGCGCCAGACAAGCTGGAGCCAGGATGTAGCGTTGAGTGCCATGCGGTCAGGGTTTAGAGATTTCATGCGCGAGTTCGTCACCCATATTGGGGGTGAAGTGAAGCAATTGAGAGATAATGTAGGGAAGTTTTGTGAGGGCGCCATTCAGGGTGTCAAAGCTGTAGCCGCTGTAGAGGGAGAGGCCAGACCCCGTAAGGATCCAGTGAAACTCAAGTTCCCAGATGCGTACGGGGGGAAGAAGGAAGAAAACTTTAACAACTTGGAAGCCAGTGTCAATAGTTATATTTATTTGCAGCATATCTTGGTCGAGGAACAAGTCCTTGTGGCCTTCCAGACCCTCAAAGATGAAGCGGCTAGTTTTGCCAGGTCTCTTGCGCGTACAGCCGGTTGTGAAAACAACCTGGTTGCGTATTCCAAAGTCACTCCTCTATCTCAATTCCTCAAGCTCCTCAAGGAGCGATTCGCTGATCCAACGCGAGGCATTAGAGCCTCTGCTAAGCTCCAAACCATCCACTCGCGGTAGTGGAGGAGTGCTAAGGCACTCAAGAGTACTATGGACGAGTTGGTAGCCGTCCCTGACCACGGGGTCACCGAGCCCCAGTTGGTCAAGTTGTTTTATCGTGCCATCCCAGAGGCCCTACGCGGGCATTTCTTTGACAA